TATACGGGTTGGCTTCGGCTCCTAAATCATGGAGCAGTCACAGAGATCGGGTGTTGACTGACATGAAGATCCCCTACGGGAAGGGCCAGCTGAGGTTGGTGAGAATGCCAGAAGACGTGAACCTGTGGCAAGTGATGGAGTGCACAGAGAAAGATATGCTGCTTGACCCTCATGCAGAGAAACTCCCTGATGAATGGAAAAAAGTGGGAGTAATGGCTTTGTACGTAGATGATATCCTGGTTGGAGCGTCGAGACCGGTTGCTGATGCACTGATTGCGAGTCTGCAGAAGGAGTGGGAGCTTTCAGCACCGGAATGGCTTAGCGAACCAGGAGACTATCTCAAGTATGCAGGTTTTGAGCTTGAGAAGACAGTACAGGGGATACGGCTGCACCAGGAGAGCTACATCAAGGACATGTTGGAGCAACAGGCGGAGGATGTGCCCGGTGAAGAGAAGACACCTGCTGTAAAGGTCTATATGTGGGATGACCCTGTGGATGAGAGCGAGCGACAACTGTTGACTAAAAGGGCTCAGGCTTTGATAGGACAGCTGTTGTGGTTGTCTGGACGGACCAGACCGGATTTGGCATATGGGGTGAGTATGGCAGCGCAGAAGATCGCCTCGAATCCTGCAGAAGCGGTGGCCAGAGCTGAGCACCTCATAAGGTACCTCAGGTCCTCACAGGGAGTAAGTCTTCATTATAGGTCAACGGTTGAAGGATGCGGACGCTGGAATCAACTTCGGCACCAACAGACCCCTTTTACATTGGAAGTGTACACTGATGCTTCGTTTGCTGCGGATGAACAGTGCAGGAGTTTCGGTTCGGTCCAACTGTTTTGGGGAGGAGCTTTGATTATGTGGTCAGCAGCTAGGCAGACGCTGATTGCAGCCCATACAGCTGAGAGCGAACTCTACTCACTTGCAGAGGGCCATCTCATGGGAAAAGCTTTGCGACCTACAGTGGCGGCATTGATGAACGTGGTGGAAAGTGACATTGCAGGACGGTTGTACTGCGATAACGCAGCTGCTGTTCAGCTTTGCGTCTTGGAGGCTGGCTCATGGAGGACAAGACATCTAAGGCTTCGTGGAGCAATCATTAGACAGGATGTGATCGATGAAGTTTGGACACTTGCACACTTAGATGGAGTTTTTATGCCCGCTGATTTAGGTACAAAACCTGTTGGTCCAGCCAGGCTTGAGGACTTGAAGAAGTTGTGTGATCTGATGGATCCGTATAGTGAACCGAACAATGAGGCTCCCAGACCGAGCGTGGCTGCACTTCAGACAAGTCCATCTGGGTTCACTTCTACTCTGTTGGCTTTGCTGCTGTTGGCCCAGGCGGCTGGTGCACAGGCATGGGAGATAAGTTTGGATGACTCGGCTGGGGCAACCTTGATGTTCGGGTTCATCCTTGGGTTTGGGATTGGCTGTGGGATGTGGGTTGCTACCAGAAGTTTGAGGGCAGTTGAGGGGCTCATTCGAGGACCAAGGGTGATGAGTTGTGGACCGCGCAGTCATGATGCGCTGCAGCCTCATGAGCCTCTC